CATCCGTTAGATGCCTTCAAGAGGACTCCAGATAGACCTCTGAATGTCATGGTGGACTCAGCAGAACTAGAGTCCACCATGACTCTAGAGTGACATAAGACATAAGAATTTATTTGTCATTACACTTGCAAGCGGGTGCAACGAAATGAGGTGCTCTTCCACAAGTAAAACTGGACAACACCATTGAAAGAAAAATAAAACTAAACACAACAGACCATACAATAATCTCTATACAGTTTAAAAATGTAAATACCCCCTTACTCTCAGCCATTAAATTCCACAAAAATCTTATGACCCTGCATTCAAACTCAAAACTGCCCTTGGATAAAAACTGTTCTTAAATCTAGTCGTCCTTGTTCTTAATACCCTGAATCTCCTTCTCGATGGGAATAGTTCAAAGAGCTGATGTCCCGGATGAGAGGAGTCATTCAATATATTAAATATCTTCCTCTTACATCTATTCCTATACAGTTCTTCCAAAGAGGGGCGTGAGCAGCCAATGATGTTTTGGGCCATCTTAATCACCCTCTGAATTGCCTTTTTCTCTGCCACTGTGCAGCTCGAGAACCATACACAGAGACAGTAGGATAATCTACTCTCAGTTGAACTCCGAGTGTAGAGAGTGGTCTTCTTTTCTACTCAGAGGTCCTCGCTCTGCCTTGATGTCCCTCAACCTTGGTCGCCTGAAGACGGGTGGGCTTCAACTCCCAGCGTATTAGGAGTTGAAGTCCCTCCAACTTCCAATGGCCAAGGTTGAGAAACGCCGTTCTACTTAAAGTTGAGGCTAGCTCTCACTTCTGTTGGCATCTTGTAGGTCTTTCTTTGGTTCTTCAGCTGTTCCACACATCTCCTGGCCTTGTTGGTTGACGAAGGGGGTCAACCCGAAACCCAAACGTTTCATGGCCCAAGAGCTTGAGAAGTGACCATAAAAACAGCAGCCACCAGAAAACGATGAGTAGCCGGAATATCCTCCTGGGATAAGCCGACGCAGAGAGGTTCTTCGCCATCAAAACATTAGCGGGTGGCACCTCCACGTTGTGTTGTATGAATCACATCGCCACAAGAGGCAGATGGGCTATGATGCACCCCACACTGACGGGTTCCAGGCTTCTGATCCAACCGTTTGATCATGCGATGGCTTCTTGGAGCCCACCAACCAACCAGATGGCTCTTTGGGAACCACCTACTCATAAAGGAGAAGATTTCCAAGCTCTGAAAAGGAGGGCTCCGTGGCGCTCTCTGAGCGTGGTTGTTACCTTGCAGACATTTCGTTGCCCGACAAGGGAACATCATCAGTGCTAGAACAGAGTGGGGTTTGGGGGGTGGAGGAGGAGGAAAAGGAGAGGAGAAGGAGTGAGGGGGGGGCGTTCTTGGCCCTCTCCGAGGTTGTTTTCTTGTAGACCTTTCATTAACCAGTTAGGGAATAGCATCAGTGCTGCAAGGGAGGGTGGTTTGCGAAGGGAGGAGGGTGCGGATGTGGAAGTGCAGGAGGAGGGAGGAGGAGCAGGTGGAATTGGAGGAGGAAGAAGAGGAGGAAGAAAAAAAAATCCCATAGCCCCCCCTCTTCCTACTCATTCCCCACTCCTTTGTAGCACTGATGATGTTCCCTAGTTGGGTCTTGAAATGTCTGCAGGAAAAGTAGCAAGCTCACAGAGCACAAAGGACTCCATAGTCCTTCCTCCTCCTCCTCCTCCTCCTCCTCCTCCTCCTCCTCCTCTCTGCAACCCCCCTTCCTTCTAGCACTGATGATGTTACCTAGTGTGGGTAATGAAACGTCGGCAAGAAAGCCTCCAAGCTCAGAGAGCACCAAGGACCTCACAGTCTTTTTCCGCCTCCTTCTCTCCACAAACTCCTCTCCCTTCTAGCACTGATGATGTTACCTACCTGGGTCATGAAACGCCTGCAAGAAAGAAACCCAGCTTGAAGAGGGCCAAAGCACCCCTCAAGCCCCTTACTCCAGAGGTGGCGAATTCAGCCGGTTCCGACCAGTTCTGGAGAACCGGCCAATCACTGACTGGCCCCACCAACCCCATCTCTCTTCTCTGCCTCCCATTGAGTCCCAGATGATCGTCTGGGTCTCCTTGGGTTGCCCCGCCCAGGAGAATGGAGCTGGAAAGCAAATTAGTGGGGTGGGGAGGGAAGGGGGATGTGGCAGTATATCCTTCCCCTGCCACGCCCACCAAGCCAAGCCACACCCACCACGCCCACCAAGCCACGCCCACAGAACCGGTAGTGAAAAAGAATGTGACTCCCACCACTGCCTGGCATTCTATGGCCTGAAGGCCACATCTGGCCCTTTGCCTGCCCCACTTTTCACATCTGGCCGCGTGGCAAAATTACACAGGTGGTCCTCGACTTACAACCATCCGTTCAGTGACCGTTCAAAGTTGCAACGGCGCCGAAACAAAGCGACCTGGGACCGTTTTTCACACTTAGTGACCCCGTTGCAGCCTTCCCCAGGGTCACGCGAACCAAATTCAGAGGCTCGGCCGCTGACTCCTACTTTACGACGGTCGCAGCCTCCCCTTTTGCGACTTCCGGACAAGCGACATCGATGGGGGAAAGCTGGACCCGCTTAACGACCGTGCTCCCCGCGGCGGTTTCACTTAGCGACTGTAGCGAGGAAGGCCAAAAAAAAAGGGGACGGAACTCACTTAACAGCTTCTCTTGCTCAGTTGTGGCCATAACGTAAGTGGAGGACTACCTGTAATTGCCCCCCCCCCATCCAGCCACAGTCCAGATCTATCAGTGATCTAGCATCCCATAATAGTGCGGGAGGGGGCCTCCACCAGGAGCTCTTTCGTGCCCTTATGGGTCTTACCTGCCTGTTCTTCAGTTCTTAGCTGCTGGGGTTGTTCACACCACGAACCGAACCAGGATTACGAATTAACCGCCTTTCTCTGGGTTTACACAATGCCTTGTTTACTAACGGAATAGGCTGCGTTCGGACAAACGGTGCACGTTACGGATGCCGCAGCCACACTCACAAATCTGACGAGGGTTAGCGTGACAGAACCCAGCCCAACGTGTTGTGCGAATACACCTTGTAGGGGTCGACCTGGGTCTCTCGAAGTCTGCCTTTAGAGCCTGTGGAAGGCAGCGCTCCTCAACCTTGTCGATTTGAAGATGGGTGGGCTGCAGTCCCAGAATTCCCCAGCTAGCAAACCTGGTTTTTTCAGCTGGTTTGTTTTCCTTCCTTCCTTCCTTCCTTCCTTCCTTCCTTCCTTCCTTCCTTCGTTCAGCTTCTCTTCCCTCTCTCCTTTCCTTCCTTCTTTCCTGACCCTCCTTGTCCTCCCCTTCCTCATTCCTCCTTCTTTTCCTACCCTTCCTTTCTTCCTCCCCCTCCTCCTCCCTTCCTTCTTCCCTGCCTCCCCCTTCTTTTCCTATCCTTTCTTCCTGATTCTCCTCCCTCCCTCCCTCCCTTCCTCTCCTCCTTTCCTTCCTCCTTCCTCCTTTTCTTCCTACCCTTCCTTCCTCCCTCCTTCCCTTCCTTCTCTTCCTCCTCCTCCTTACCTCCCTCCCTTCCTCATCCCTTCTTTTCCTACCTTTTCTTCCTTTCTTCCTGTA